CCCCCCCCCCTTCTGCAGTCCGGCTTCACCCCATTCAGCTGAATCTGCCCTCTCCAGAGTCACCACTGGCCTCCCAACTGACCCATCAAAGGGCCTTTTCTCGGGGCTCCTCTGTCTTGCCCTCCCTGCATCCCTGGACACTGCTGTCAGCCTCCTCCCCTGATGCTGCCTCCCCTGGGGGGCTTGGGGACAGCCTCCTGCCTCCTGTTCTCCTTCTCTGGCCTTCTTCCATGTCCTGCCCGGTGCTGGCCGGGGTCTGGCCTGGGCCTCTTCTCTTTTCTCTCTGCTCTCACTCAGTGATCTCATTGACCCCCATGGGTTTAATTATTCTCTAGATGCAGCCAGTAACTGGTTCTCCCAGATGCGGGAGCCTTCCCCTCCAAGATTTCCTTTCATCTGCTGCTGATGCACCTAGTCGTGGACATCCTCGTTGTCTCCGCTACCCCTAATGTCACCTAGTTTTCCCTTTCTTTGTATCCCTGGTGCCCAGTACAGGGCCTGGCACAGAGGAGTCATTACTGAATGCTTGTCGATTGGTTCAGAGTGATTGGGAATGAGGCTCATTTGGAACTTGGAACTCTCCAAGGTTAATGGAGCCCTCGGGCAGGCCTGAGCTCCCTTCACCAGACACCTTCAGGCCCAGCGGGGTGCTGGTGTGAATTCTTGTTCTTGGAGAGGTCACTTTCACCTCTGAAATTCCATGATTGTCAGGGGCAGCTAGGTGGCGCGGTGGGTAGAGCACCAGTCCTGAAATCAGGAGGAGGACCTGAGTTCAAATTCGACCTCAGACCAGACGCTTGACACTTACTAGCTGTGTGACCCTGGGCAAGTCATTTAACCCCAATTGCCTAAAAAAAAAAGAAGAAAAGAGAAGAGAAGAAATTCCGTGATTCTGTGGTTTATTAATTCCTGGTGTTTGACTAGAGTCTGTTTGTTAGATTTAATTTTTTCAGTCAAAGGCACTTGGATGGGTCATGCTAATTCCAGTGAATCTGAAATTGTGCCGTGTTTACTTTCCCATAAAAATGATTCCTGATTCTTAATGGAGAGAGAGTGCCGTTCCCTCGGATGTCAACGTTGTCCTTCTAAATACGATGTTCTGGTTCAGCATTTCACATGGATGATCTGTAGGACTGCCAAGGGCTGCTTTGGGGAGATAACTAGCCAGGGTGACTGAGCCCCGGAGTGTGGTGAAGAATCAGACTCACATTTGGGAGACTGACTAGCTTGGTGATGAATGTTCCCGTTAGCTTTTCTTAAACCCAGTTTTCTCATCTGTGCAATGGGGAGAGCGAGTCCTTGCAGTCCCAGCCTCACAAGGTGGTTGTTGCCAAAGTACTTTGTAAATTAAAAAGTCCTGTGTAGCTGTGACCCATTTTTACTCTTTGATGTGATTCAGAATCTCACGCCAACTGAGGCCCTTGGTGGGTGCTTAGTAGAAGTGTGACTCTGAACCCTGAAGCTCAGGTGCTGTGAGCAGCCCCCCCTAACGGTCCTGCCCCCTTCGCTTCTCCCTCTCAGATCCACGTGAAGGATGACCGCTGGGCGAGCACGAGCATCTTTGGTGTTTTGGGAGTCAGTGACCTTCCAGGATGTGGCCGTGGACTTCACGTGGGAGGAGTGGGGGCACCTGGGCCCTGCCCAGAAGGAGCTGTACCGGGAGGTGATGCTAGAGAACTACAGGAACCTGGTGTGCCTGGGTGAGGAGGCTCCCCTGGGACCCAGGCTCTGCCCGGGAAAGGTCTTTGCTCTCTCCCTTGGTGAATGCCGTGGAGGGGTGTTGGTGTTTAGCACTTTTAGTTGGGCCTGCAGAGACCAGAAGGGGCTAATCCTTTCGTGGCTAGGAGCCCGGGCCTTCATCTGCATGGTTCCAAATGAAGGGTATTTGATTTTTAGATCTGAAAACCATGAGCTTACTGCTTTGTTCCTGAATGTGGGCTTCCCCCACTCGCTGTTTGCTCAGGGAAGAGTCTCCCCCAATTTCCAGTACAGAGACTTGGGGACTTTTCAGGTCAGTGGGGAGTATGGGGAGTGGGGAATGTGAACAACTCAGCCCCATGCTACTCTGTGATGCATTCCCCACTATTTTCTAAGAAAACACAAACCAGAACATTCTTTTTTGATTTTTTTAAATTTTTAAATTTTTAGGCAATTGGAGTTAAGTGACTTGCCCAGGGTCACACAGCTAGTAAGTGTTAAGTGTTTGGTCGGAGGCCAGATTTGAACTCAGGTGCTCCTGACTTCAGGGCCAGTGCTCTATCCACTGCGTCCCCTAGCTGCCCCCAGAACAATCTTAAGTAGTCTTTTCTCCTGCCTTCTGGTCTTCCTCTCCCGCCTGTGGCTTCTGGGGGGTGAGGGAAGGATGGGATCTAGAAGTAACCCTCGGTGCCCACCACTTTGCTATTTCCTACAAGCAGGCCTTGCCGTTTCCAAACCGGACGTGATCTGTCAGCTGGAGCAAGGTGGAGCACCATGGTGGCCAGAGGGTGGAGTCCCGGGAAGCAGCTGTGCGGGTGAGTTTGGGGGACCCTTCATTGGGAATGACGGGTCTTTCAGGCAGTTTAGCACTTGAGAAGTTTCACCTGGGAGGTGTCTCCAAGACACTCTTGTGAATGTCATGAATCTGGAGAGCTCCCCTTTACTGACATTGGGGACCTTAAGCTGCCAGAGAGAAAGGGTAGGCGTGCCATGACTGGGGGCGAGACCAGCTCCCAAGCCTTTCCCATTGGACAAAGGAGCCTTATAGGGGCCCAAGGATTGGGGAATGCGCTTGGGCCAGAACACAGGACCTACTTATCTCCCTGAGGATAATTTATTCTTCCTTTTCAAAACGTATGTAGTAATGTGAACAAAATAACATTGGGGAGTCTTATTTAAACAATGTAGGAGGAAATACCTTCATATGCATGGCTGGGAGGCAAAGTTTTTGTTTTTTTAAATGATAAGGGCAATATAATCTTTATAAAGACTTAGCCTCTGCCCTGTTTGATTCCATGGTCTTCAGGTATCTTAGATGAAGCTCAGTCAAAGAAAGTCTTTATTTCCTTTCAGTCACACCCTGAGGGCACAGCCCGAGGGTGATGATGATGATGGTGATGATGGTGATAATGATGATGGTGATGATGATGATGGTGATGGTGGTGATAGTGATGGTGGTGATGATGATGATGGTGATGGTGGTGATGGTGATGATGGTGGTGATAGTGATGGTGGTGATGATGATAATGGTGATGGTGATGATGGTGATGGTGATGGTGGTGATGGTGATGATGG